GTGTGTGTGTGTGTGTGTGTGTGTGTGTGTGTGTGTGTGTGTGTGTGCATGCAGGCCCGTAATGGCCCACTGTGTAACTTGGCAGATGCACGACGCTCCCATGAAAATTACGATGCATAATGCGCCCATAAAAATTACCGCTACATTAAGATTTTGGAAAGATATTCATTGTCTTTCATAAGTAATAACCTCATGGTCTTCAGTAATACATCATTGATAAAACGTTTATATTTTTGTGAAGACAAGCGTTAAACCTAAACTATGATTCTTTAATCTGTAATCTATTGAGCCATAAGTTACCTGAAGGATTAAATAACAAAAATTAAAGCGCCATCAAATATTTTCGTAACCACCCCATAAGAGCAACCAGTACGGGCCTGTGTGTGTGTATGAGTGTGACATATTTGTGGGCGTGCGAGTGTATATTTGTTCCTAATCGTATTGGTAAACCTATAAGTCGACACGCACGCGAGATTAAAAAAAAAAAAAATAGAGATCCGGTGAAAATATTGATTTTCGATATAAAATTATGATTATTATACTAATTTAACTACGCATGATATTTGAAAATCATTACGACTATTATTATAATATCAACGATAAAATATAGTATTATACAATTTACGTTACACATTTTAATCAATAAACTATTGGGATTACACAATTTATTTATAATATGTATTACATTCATAAATTAGATAGTATAACAAATAGTTGTCATAGGCTATTCACGGTGTTTTCCGTCGCGTCTTTTTTTGGACGAATGTCGAAACAATAAAAATGTGAATTTCTAATTTTAAATTGTTGTAAATTAGGATAGACTATACTGTTATCGGGAAACGCTGCGTTTGTACCATAATTTTATGAATACAATAATTTGATGTCGATATTAAATATTGTACCTATATAAATGAATTACCTACGCAATATAAATAAATATTTTAATTTTAGGTATAATATATTCAAGATTATTTACTATATAAGATATTTTAAGAGAGTATCAAATGTCAAATGTTTTTACAGACATTTAGTAATAACTAAAATATTTGTCCGGAAAGCGCCTTAAAACTTCATATATTACATTGAATTGGCTTTTTTCAGTTCTTTTTTTCTCATAGGAATGTACTGTAAACCTCCTGTGCCCCATAACTCTATATTTTTCTTCCAGTGCCTCATTTATGGCAATTATTAACGCTGGTGTAGATTTTGTCATAATATTGTAAAATGGAATATGACAAAAAATAAACTGAGCGCTACGAGTTAGTGCATATAGTCGGTCTATGTGTGTCATACATTTTTGAATACTTATTTTTTTACTACATACTTAAAACTAAAACATGTAATATTTTATACTATTTACATACTAGTACAGAGAAAATTAAAAAAAAATGATGAAAAACATATATATTTTTCGAAGGGTTTACATACAATTAAATATTAAGCTAGATATTTATAAACATACATGATATATTACATAGATTTATAACATGGATATATTTTTTAGATGAATATTAAGAAGAATTGCAAGAACAGAAAAGCATTACCCTTCTCTAATTACAATGGTTACTTAAATAATACAAGTCAAAGTTTTAACTCGAAAACATATCCATGATTTAATGATTTAATGTTATATCTATATAATTATATGTTACCATAGTTGTTTAAAATTTGGTCCATTCTTATTGAAAATATGTAAACAAAAAAAATGAAAAGAATTAAAATTTTTGTTGAAAACAGTATAACCTATTAGTATTTTTCCCGTTTTGAAAATCGGGGGATATTGTACAACTTTTATCTATAGAAATTATATAATTGGATTTGGTAATTTTCGATCAGTTGGTACTGCTTTTTCAAATTTCGGACCTTATAATTTCTTAGGTCCTTATCATTTTTTTGGACAAGTGCCAATCACTCATACTCGAATGCGACGGATGTATATAAATTACTGATATAATATTGTTATGGGGTTTACCATGTTTTTAAAATAATGCACTGATATATGCGGCGGAATACGCTCGACGGACACATCTCAAACAATAATAATCCGCGGAATCCGTGGCATACCAAACGCGACGGAAAACGCCTTGTTTAGTGAGATTTACAAATCCACGCTATTCCACTTTAATGGCTTATCGATATTTACCATCAATAATTTTATAATTTTAAATATACTAGCATGTGAAAATGAACAGACAACTAATATGGATGGAAAGACTGCATTTTATATCATTGTATTTTTGAATGTGCTTCGATACGCATAGGTTTTGTTCCACCTCCTTACAAAGGATATTATATGAAGTTAAAAAAAAAAGTATGTAAAAACAATTGACATATTAAAGCACGTTTTAAAATTAATATTTAGAAGATAAAAAATACAATTTTTTTCTGGGAGACTTGAATAACATTTAAACAAATATTTAATTTGATGTTTATGAAATCAAT